GAGCTGCTACCTGACCGGCCCCTGCTACCCCCACCCCCACCACCGCAGGGCTCCGGGCCAGGTATGAGTAGGCAAACCTCTCCCTCTAGGAGTTGTCCCTGTGCAAGCTTCCACAGTCCCTGATCATGGGGGTGTGCTGTGAATTGTGGGGCTCCGTTCCAATCACTACGTAGACTAGAGCACTTTCATGATGGTGGGGAAGGGTGGGGGAGGCCCCTCCCCAAGTTGGGTGGGCACAACCTCTAAAGCCCTGTTCTTTCCCCACAGGCATCAGCAATAACCAGCCCAACCAGATGCACCTGAACTCTGCTGCTGCCCAGAGCCCCATGGGCATGAACTTGCCAGGCCAGCAGCCCCTGTCCCATGAGCCCCCACCTGCTATGTTGCCCTCTCCCACCCCTCTGGGGTCCAACATTGCACTGCACCCCAGTGCACAGGGGACAGGGGGCCCTTCTCAAAACTCAATGATGATGGCCCCAGGAGGCCCAGACTCCTTAAGTACCCCTTGTGGCCCCGGGCCCAGCTCCTCCCAGATGATGCCCTTTCCTCCTCGGCTACAGCAGCCCCATGGTGCCATGGCCCCCACTGCGGGTGGGGGTGGGGGGCCTGGCCTGCAGCAGCACTACCCTTCAGGCATGCCCCTGCCCCCTGAGGACCTGCCCAACCAGCCACCTGGTCCCATACCTCCCCAGCAGCACCTGATGAGCAAAGGCATGCCTGGCCGCATGGGCGACGCGTACCCACCCGGGGTGCTCCCTGGGGTGGCATCAGTGCTGAATGACCCAGAGCTGAGTGAGGTGATCCGGCCCACCCCTACTGGCATTCCTGAGTTCGACTTATCCAGGATCATCCCCTCTGAGAAGCCAAGCAGCACCCTCCAGTACTTCCCCAAGAGCGAGAACCAGCCCCCCAAGTCCCAGCCCCCCAACCTGCATCTCATGAACCTGCAGAACATGATGGCGGAACAGACCCCCTCTCGGCCACCCAACCTCCCAGGCCAGCAGGGGGTCCAGCGGGGGCTCAGCATGTCCATGTGCCACCCTGGACAGATGTCCTTGCTGGGCAGGACAGGTGTGCCCCCACAGCAGGGCATGGTGCCCCATGGCCTGCACCAGGGGGTCATGTCCCCACCACAAGGCCTCATGACCCAGCAGAATTTTATGCTGATGAAGCAACGGGGTGTGGGGGGTGAAGTCTATACCCAGCCTCCTCACATGCTCTCCCCACAGGGCTCCCTCATGGGCCCCCCACCCCAGCAGAACCTTATGGTGTCCCACCCTCTGCGGCAGCGCAGTGTGTCTCTGGACAGCCAGATGGGCTACCTCCCAGCGCCGGGCGGCATGGCCAACCTACCCTTCTAGCAGGCCCCTCAGAGGTCTGGAGCTGGGGATACTGAGAATATGTTGACTTTAAGAATTTTTCTTTTCTCCAGTGTTGGGATGGATGGCCTGGGTCCAGGGGTAGGGTGGAAGGGTGGGAAGGGGCTTGTGTGGGGAGTGGCATTTGTGGAAACCTGATGTGCTGGCAGCTTAGGGGGAAGCGGCAAGAGTCTGGGTGGGGAGTTGGAATTGGGTTTTGCTCCACTTTAGCCACCAGGACTGCCCCTCCCCTCCCCTTCCTGTTCCTTTGGGGCTTCTGTTTCCCTCTGTCTTTACACTTCTCCCCCAATTTCAGCTATGTTTGGGGGGTCCTCGGGGAGAGAGGAAGGAGAGGAGGGGGTCTTCCGTCCTCTGTCCCTTTGTGAAACTGTCACCTCATTGATGTTCCAGGTCCATTTGTCCCCTCCTGGTTTCTCTGTTTTTACCCCCCTTTCCCTCTGTCTTCCTCATTTCCTCTCCCTGTTGACATGCTGACCTCCTCTCCCACGCCCCCTGCAGGCAGCTGGCCAGGTGGGCAGGTGCCAGCGGAGCTGTAAATAGAGCTGCGCTTTTGTGCCGGTTTGTGCGTGTGCCGTATTTCTGTGTTTTGATAGAAAGTCACACACAAAAGAAAAATATAAAAAAAAAAAACCTTCCCCCTCCTTCCAGTGATCGATCCCACCATTTTCATGGACCCAGAGACACCCTCCATATGCCCCACCTATCAACTGAGGTCACACGTCCAGGCTTCCATTTGGTGAGCCGGGGAGGACTGAGACCTCCCCCCCTCCCCCACTGTGGCCGCCTGCCTGCTGCTGAGTGATTTCTGGAGAGCAGGTGTGCACGTGAACATGCGTGTACCCACACCAGTAACATAGGCCCCCTGCCTGCCTGGGTGCCTCTGCTGCTACATCTTAGCCAGAACTTGAAGCCCTTTGTCCCCAGTCTGTGATAAAGGAGAGAAGGAAGGGGAAGGTGTGGCCCCTTTGAATGGAGCTATGGAGGGGTGAGCATGATCTGATTACAGCCTATGGCTTTTAGTGGCTTTGGGCCAGTAACCCCTCAGGGCACAGACCCTTCTAGAAACCACCACTTGCTTCTCACCAAAGAGGGAAGGGACAGAGTTTGGCTGAGTCAGTCAGTCTCCCCTCCAGCCTCCACCCCTAGCATGGAGTGAGGAAAGGCAGTGTGGGGAGAGCATCCTGCTGCCTGTCCACTCTCTGGCAAGGTCCTTCTGTCCAGGGCTCAGGGCCATGTACCAGATCAGTTTATGCCCACCCAAGCATAGCCACTGCCTCCCTGTTACTTCCCAGGAGAGCCCCTCACCCATCACTGGTCAGACTGAAGCCATACAGGAATGGGTGTTTTGTCTCCCTTGGCCCCTAGAGTAAAATACTTCTCTTTTTCTCACTTCCTTTTTCCTGCCTTGTAAGGTGGCGGGCAGCTCCGTGGCCAAGGCCTTCTGCCCTGCCTCCAGGGCCAAGGGCCATTCTAGACAGGGTGTCTTTTACCAGGACCCTGTCCCCAGCCTTTCTGACCTGCAGGGCCTGGTTTTGCCTTGGCAGCTGTAATACAAAGGGAATCTGTGCCCACTTCTCCCAGTCTGGTGCTGTCCATTGTCAGCCAGGTCAGGCACCGCTCCCCTCCAGAGTTGGCTGCAGGCCCCTGGCTTCTCCTGCCCTTCCCAGGGAGGAAAGCCAAGGTCTCTGTGTTGAGAGGTGGGTGGAAACCTGTCCTTTCTGCCAGATACTCTGCCCTCCCTGCTTCCATCTGGGCCCCACCCCCATGTTCCCAGCCTGTCCAAACTGTCTAACTGCCCTGCTCCAAGGAGAGGGCTCAGGCCACAAAGGGCCTGATGCCCCCTTTTGGTGTCTTTGTCTCCCACCTCTAGCTTCCCAAGGTGATCTCCACAGGCCAGCCTTCTCCTCTCCATCCATGGCCACACCCCAGCCATTTTGTACCATTATATAAATATATATATATAAATATAAATATATAAATACAATATGTGAAGACATCTTCTTGGTTTTTATTTTGAAACACTTTTTAGGCTTGCTCTGGGGGTCTGTGCTGCCTGTACTGTATTGACCTGTTTTATAGGTGCCTTTTTATTAAAAAGAGAAAATTCAAAAATGTAATCTCTTGCTTTTTTGTCTCTGTGTTGGGTCTCTCTCCAGCTGGCTGTTGGATGCTGGGAACAGAAAAGGGGATCTCAAGATGTCTCCATTTTGCAATGAGGGTGCAGTCTTCTGAAGCTATAGAACTGATTTCCCCCAGGGAGCTTGTCTGATTGGCTTGAGTGGTACCAGGCAACCCAGTTCTCCCCAACCCCCAGTCCCCTCTTAGCTCAGTGGCTGGGAGGAGGAGGAGCTCAGAATTGCCTGCTAGGCTTCCCCTAAGCAGGTGTGGAGCAGCTTCCTTTGGTTCCATCTGAGCAGTACCTCCCAGGGGCACAGCACTGCCTTCCTGGGGCTAGGGGACTTCCCTGCCCAGGTTGGCTTCTCACATTGCCTCTGCCTAATGAAGACAGGCCTCTCTCTCTTCATTTTCTTAGCTAAGTACCTCTTCTTCTGAGTCTAGGACCCCTTTGCAATTTTATTTTCTATTGGCCCTGAGGATTTCAGGAGAGGCAAGTTGGCCTCTTTCCCCATCAGTGCTCAGAATCCACTAGGGCTCTGGATCTTCCTGACACTCCGGGCAGAGAAGACCGATGGGTTTGGTGTTTTTAAATTTATTTTTATTTTATATGTGCATTGGCCTTTCGCCTGCTTGTATGTCTCTATGATGCTGTCGGATTTCCAGGAAGTGAAATTACAGACAGTTGTGAACTGCCATGTGGGTGCTGGGAATTGAACCCTGGTCCTCTGGAAGGGCAGCCAGTGCTCTTAACCGCTGAGCCATCTGTCCAGCCCCCACTGGGTTTGATTCTACTTGCCCCTCTTTGGGGCCTGGAGAGAAGGTGTCTCTCCATTTCTCCACTGGGCTGCTTCCCTGCTGGCTTGCCCTGTATTTTCTTAGGACACTGGCTGCCTCCAGGGCCTTCTGGAACCTGTCCTTGGTCTGTAGTTCAGGATCCAGTAACATGGGACTGACCCAATGCTGGTTGGTTGGAGTTAGACAGCTACCTAAAGTAAATCAGTCCAGCTTCCTGCTTGATTAAGAGAATGGCAGGGTTGAAGGTCTGACACAAGGTTTGTGTTTAGGAGACAGACATGTTAAGGCCAGACTCTGCCACCAGTTGGCTATTCAGTGGATAAGAGTGGTGGGAGCTGTGGCCAGCAGCCTTTTAAGATGGGCAGAGTGCATTCTGGGAAGAGATTCAGGGGTCCATAACCAGAGGAAGATGAGCCTGCAGGCCCCCAGCAGAGTGGCTTTCCCCAAGGCCAGGGGAGAAACAAAGCTGATTTGTCTGGTTAGGATGGGAGTTGTGTGGAGCCCTCTTAGCCTAGAGATTCCTTGTTTTGCCTTTGGGCTGCTTTCTCCTCTCAGGACTCTAGTTTAGCCTGAGGGCTGGCAGGAGAGCTTAGGTACATTCTAGAAAGAGTTCATCTAGCTGTCCCTTCTGGGGACACTGGCCCAAATAAGCTCTTAGAACCCCAGTTTTTGTTGAAAGGGCTTGTAACATCACTCCAGGCTCCCAAGGAAAACAGAAACAGAAAGGGGTTGTAGAGATTTTGGGATCTAGAACGTGGTGAGAGAGGTGGCATTCTCTGACTCAGAGAGACTGCTCTTACGCCAGCTGGGGAAAAGTTGGCAGAGGGAGGCTGGGCCAGCACAGCCCAGCTTCGTCAGAAGTCGAGACAAGTCACTGCGGAACTTTACACCAGCGAAGGTGTAGAGCATGGGATTGAGACAGCAGTGGGCCAGGCCCAGGAATTCACATACGGTGATGGCCACAGAGAGATAGCTCCTCAGTGCACAGCTACTGTCCACCGCCTTCAGTCTCTCCAGTGTGTCTACGAAAATGACAACGTGGTAGGGTGACCAGCAAAGAAAGAAAATACTTGTCACTAAGATGGCCACCCTGACTGCCTTCTGCCTCTGAGGGCGCCGCTGAGCCTGCCATAGCCTGTGTACCACTCCAACATAACACCAGGCCATCACCAACATTGGTAGCAGGAAGCCACCAATATGGTAGAGGAAACGAGAGATAAACCAGGCTTTGGTTTCAGCTTCATTCTCTTGAGAGAAGCTGCAGTGTGGCAGGGAGTCATTGTTAGGAGGTTGGCTGACCTTGGCAAAGAGGACTTCTGGCAAGGCAAACAGGAAGCCGGCTAGCCAAACGGTTGCACAGGTGATGTGGATGGAGAGGAGGCGGCGGCGGCGGTAGGCGTGGACGGCATGGACAATGGCCAGATACCGGTCTACAGCTATGCAGGCCAACAGCAGGCTGCTGCAGTAGAAATTGATCTTGTGCAGGCCGATCACAGTTTTGCAGAGGAAGGTCCCTAGGACCCAGCCCACAGAGCCCTCAGCCACCGCAAAAGGCAGGATAAAGACAAGGAGAAGGTCGGCAACTGCCAGGTGGAAGAGGAAGGTCTCAGTTGAGCTTCGAGTTTGCCGGTGCCTCTCCAGGATCACAAGCACCAGAATGTTTCCCATCATACCCAGGAGGAAGACCAGGCTGTAGGCCACAGGCATGAAGACAGCCTTGAAGGAGGCCAGCAGGGGTCCCTCCACTGTGGAGCAGAAGTAGCTTTCCTGTGGGGGGAGCTCCGTGCTGTTACTGTAGAAGGCAAATTCCTTGTACTGCAAGGACAAAGAAAAAGAAAAATAAGAAACGATAGCCCTATCTTTTCTCTCCGAGAGAAAGCCACCTGTGATGTCTCCTGTCCTTCTATTTCCCCTTGGCGTGTCCTTGAACAAATCATGCCATCTTTTCCTTCCTTCCAATTTTTAATCTTACACAGGATTTCCCTGTACAACCCTGGCTAGCCTGGAATTATCCATGCAGACCAGGTTGGCCTCAGATTTGGAAGGTTCTTCTGTCTCAGCTTGCTTGAGTGCTGGGAATAAAGGTGTGTGCCTATGCCCTCTTTCTTTTCTTTTTTTTTTCTTTCTTTTTTTTTTTTTTTTTTT